TGCAGCTGCTGCCGCTGCTGCGGCTGCTGCGGCTGCTGCGGCTGCTGCTGCGCTGCAAACTGTTGAGAGCTGCAGCTGCGTGGCCTGCGCAGGTCCCGCTGCCCCGCAAATATGCCCTCGAGCTGGTGATGGCCGTCGAAGAACATTACAAACAAACCATGAAGGGCGCAGTCGCCGAAGTGGAAATCCCAAAGAAACCCGGAGGCCGTTTAGTGGTAAACAGCTCACGAAATTGATGCCATTTGCTCCCATTTACCTGCGCTTCCATTTACCTGCAGCTGCTGCTGCTGCTGTTGCAGCTGCTGCTGTTGCTGCAGCTGCTGCTGTTGCAGCAGCAGCTGCTGCTGCTGCTGCTGCAGCTGCTATTGCTGCTGCAGCTGCTGCTGCTGCTGCTGCAGCAGCAGCAAAACAGCTTTTGGGTTGGATTTGTGGGCTATGGTTTCAGCTCGTCGGCGACACCCATGGGCAGCTCAATGACGTTCTTTGGATTTTGTACAAGTTCGGCCCGCCTTCGGCCACAAATGTGTAGGCCAGAGGTTTTTAAATGAAAATTTCGGGTTTTTTTCTTTTCTTTTCCGGACTTTTTGGGTTTTATTTGGGTTTTATTTGGGTTATATTAGGGTCTTATTCGGATTGTTTAGGTTTTGTTTGGATTCTGTTCAGGGGTTTTAATTTTTTTTCCGTTTAATTCGGGCATTCTTTCATTTTTTCCGGGTTTTGTTGTGTTTAATTTATGTGTTTTCCGGATTTGGAGGTTTTTCTTTTTGTTTTTTGGGATTTTGGGGTTTTATTTCCCTTCTGTCCGTCGTCGTTGGGGTTTTCAATGTCTAGTGGGTCGTTGTTGGGGTTTTGAATCTGTTTATTCGTGATTTCGGGTTTTTTGAAACTGTTTATTCTTAATTTTAGGGTTTTATTTGTGTTTTATTCGCCCTTCATGCGCGTTCACTCCGTTTACCTCGTCATTTAGGGGTTCTGCAAACTTGCATTCCCGAACCCCTGTTGTGTTCTTGAAGAGTTGTATTCGCCTTTTTGTGTGTTGAACTTGTTCGCCCAAGAACTCAAAAGTAAAGCACAAACAGTTGAAGGCCGAAAGCAGAGGACAGAAAAAGATGGGGATTCTGCGGCTGCGGTGTGGGCTGCAGGTACTTGTTCAACGGGGACATAGCGGACCGGGGCCGGAGTTCGGTGGAGATATTTCTGCTGCTGTTTGCGTTCAAGCTGCAGTGCGCGAGCTCGGTGATAATAAACCGGGGCAACCACGAAAGCGCAGACATGAACGAAGTGTACGGGTTCGCGCAGGAAGTGCGGCAGAAGTACGGGGGGCTGCTGTACCAGAAGTTCCAAGACATCTTCCACCTGCTGCCGCTGTGCGTGGTGCTCGAGAAGCGCGTCTTCATCGTGCACGGCGGACTCTGCCGCAAAGACAACATCACTCTCCACCACATCGACAAGCTCCACCGCCAGCGGCCCTGTCCAGCTTCGCCGCACACTTTCGAAGACACTCTCATGTTCGACTTGCTGTGGTCCGACCCGCAGCCGGACCGGGGCCGCGGCTGGAGCACGCGCGGCGCGGACTGCATAGCCTTCGGCCCCGACGTCACTGACGCCTTCCTCACCAAGAACAACTTGGAGGTTTGCATCCGCTCCCACCAGGTGCGCTGCTGCTGCTGCTGCTGCTGCTGCTGCTGCGGCGCAGCGGCGACGGTTCGCACCGGAAACGGAGCTCTGGAGCGGCAGGTAGCTCCTGCTGCGGCGGGAAGCGCTGCTGCAGCGGCCAGCGCCGCTGCAGCGGGCGGCGCTGCTGCAGCGGCAAGTGCTGCAGCAGCGACAAGTGCTGCAGCAGAAGCGGGCGTTTGTGCGTGCTGCAGGTGCCGACGAACCTGCGCGGGTTCGAGCCCGTGCACGACGGGCGCTGCGTGACTCTGTTCTCGGCGTCGAACTACTGCGGGACAACAGGGAACTACGGAGGAGTTATTATATTTGAAGCGAACTTGTCGTTTGAAATTCAAGAGTACATGGCGCCTTCTTTGCAGGAGATCCAGCAGCTGCACCGCGAGACCTGCGCAGCAACTCAGAAGGTGCTGCTGCAGAAGAAGATGAAGGAACTCGAAACCCAAGCCAAACGCGCCAACAGACGCTCCGCTGCTGCGAGAATGAGTCAGGAAATAGTGCAGAAAATGTGCAAGATGGTCTGCGAAAAAAAGCAAGACCTTTGGTGGTGTTTCTTCAACATGGACTCCGACGGCTCCGGCAAGATCACGCCCGCGCAATGGAGGCAAGCGGCCCCGTTTCGTATCTTTTTTCGCCGATTTTAATTCCTTTTTCAAACTATTAAGACCCTTCAACCCGCAGATCTGCTTTGCTGCGCCAGCTGCTGGCTTTTGGCCTCCAACTGAGGCTTTCTGCTGCCAAAAGGCGACCTGTGCTGCAGTGTCAAGATCTTGCCACTTAGCCTCCTCACCGCAGCAGATACTTATTAATAAGTATTTTCCACTCGAAGTTTCGCAGGGTTTTGTCTCCCCCGCGGGCATTTGGCTTATTGCATGTTTGTGCAGTGTGTCCTGTGCATGCGCGGGCTTGCCGTTGAACTAGTTCTTTTCTTCCTTTTGAATTTGAATTTGTTTTTCTTTTTGAATTGGAATTGTTTCCTTTGGAGTGGAACTCCCGTGCGTCGCGAGCGCTGCGCCTGCGGCCTGCAGAGAAGCCTGCTCAATCGTGCTGGGCCAGGAGCTGCCGTGGGTGAATATAATGAAGTGTTTGAAAGCAGTCAGCAAAGACGGACTAGTCCATTACAACGACTTCTTGTACCGCTACAAAGTGGACTTCAGGCCGCCCATTTGCAAGCACTTGAACTGGCGGCAAGAATGCGTGGCGCGGGTGAGTCGGCTTTCTGGCATTTTCCGCAGCTTTTCCCTCGCTTTTCCCCAAATTTCTCCCCTTTTCTCCGCATTTTGCATGCACAAGCTGCTGCACTTTGCATGCGGCGCAATTTGCTGCCACTGACCGCCTCGAATCTCCCGAAAGTCCCGCCATATGCTGCGAACCGCCCCCGCTGCTGCGCAGGTCTTTGAGTCCATCATGAGCGCTGACCTCAGCCTGAAAGAAACTCTGATGCTCTTCGACCGAAACTGCGACGGCACAGTTTCTTTCCGGGAGTTCAACGAGCTCCTTTCGGACCTCGACATAGGTGCGGCGCTGCTGAGCCAGCTCTTCAGCTTTCTGCACACATCTATATACATATATATATGTATCTATATATATGTATGTCTCTATATATACATATAAGTATATATATATATAGATATATATGTATATTTCCAGAAATAATGTTTATAAGTATGTTTCGGACTTTATATTTGCATGTGGAGCCGCGTGAAGGCACAGAAGAGGCTTTTTGCTCATTTGGATTTTACAGCATGTTTGTGGCTGCCTGGAAGCGCAAAAAAGCCCCCAACTTGCTGCGCTTTTGGATTTGACTCAAATGTATCTCTAAATGGGGTTTCTGCTGCTGCTTTGCTGCTCTTTTGCTGCTGCTTTTGGCGCTGCAGGCCTCAGCGAGCCGCAAGTCCGGATTCTGATGCGCCTTATTACGGCAAGTCCGGCGTTCAACGCAGCAGCAGGCAGCATCGACGTGGCGGAGTTCCTGGGGCGTTTCAAAGTGGTCTATTCCAATTCAATTAAGGAAGAGTGAGTTGCAAAGAGCTTCTTGTCTCCCTCAGATCTTTGGAATTCCCCTAGCAGCAGCAGCAGCAGCAGCAGCAGCAGCAGCAGTGCAGCAGCTGCAGGCCGCGGTCCGCGGGCTTTCCGCGCTCTGTGGCGCGATCTTGCAGATTCTGCAGTTTGAAATAAATAGTGTTTCGTAAACAATGCAGAATAAATGCAGTAAGTGCATGCACTTTGCATCTGGGTCGCCTTGCTGCTGCTGCTGCTGCTGCTGCTGCTGCAGCC